CCCCATTGGTGTGTCTGTCATATGACTGCCCAGAGCGGAGGCAAAGATCCACCGCTTGAGCTGGGGGCTTGTTTCAGCTGCACTGACCTGCAGCCCCCCAGCCCCTGCCAAATTCCTTGGAGCTGCTTATTAACACGCTGACAACTCTGCTCCAGAGTCCCGGCACGCCGAGGCAGAAGGCAGAGGGGTTTGACAGCGTGGCCTAAATATCCCTGTTTACAAAAAGTCTGACAAAACACAAGCCCTTGGCTTTATCTTTCCCATTTGGAAATAGCCACAGAGCAAATATACTCAAGGCACGAAGGGAGGGGGATTTATATTGACTTTAGAAAAAGCTGTTCTTCAAAAACAGGAAAAAACCCTCACCCACGAGCTGTGCAGACTGGCTCCTAGACCCAAAAGTCTTACACAGAGGCTTAAAGCCTGCCTGCTAATCTGTAGCAGTTCTGTGTGAGCAAGTCATGCAGTAAACTGCTCCCTGTTAATTTTTTAATGCAAAATAAACAGGTCAAGAAATGATTAGCATGAGAATAGTGGAGCTTAATCGGGAGAATCAGAAAAGATGAGAGGGAAGAGGCAAATTGGAGTTATCAGTTAACCATATGGAGTGGCTCTGCCTCCACGAGCTCATGTTCCCTCTTGTTTTCCATCCCCTCTGTAGCTGCCTTTTTTTCCCTTCCCTAATTTAAATGATGAGCTAAAATTGCTGGTATAAGCACAATGGAAGCCCTTGTTTCTCCTTCTCATTTTCTATCTGCAATGTCTGCCCAAATGAACTGGAGGTGATAAGGCTCCTACCTGGTTATTCCCAATGGTCCTTCCCATTCTGCGTGGAGAAAGGGAGCTGCTGGTTAAGGTTAAGGCTGAAACATGCAAAATCCACTCCGTGCGCATTCGAGCACTCTGCTCCAGTGGAAAAGTTTTGGTGTGATCCCGGCAGATCCAGGGACTGAGTGGAGGCATCCGTGGGCAAGGGGAAGAGCAGCCCTCGGGACTGCTTGGAGTGGAGTTTGGTCAGTGGTCGGAGATCTATATTCTCAGATAGGCAGGACTTTGTCCACAAACTGGAATTTGAAATTTCAAAGGGGAAAAAAAAAAAAAGGCAGAAGGGACCTTTGCATGTGTGGAGATGACTACGCTGGTGACGTTCCCCTGGGACTTTTGTTCTTTGTCTTGTAACTGGGCTTCATCCTTCTCCAACACCTCCCTTGGCCAAACAGTGGTGGCTGAGCAGGGGGCACAACCTTGTTGAGGGCACTCCTGCTCTGGAGAGGTTTCAGACCTGAGCCCATCTCTGCTTTGTTTGCATGGCAAGGAAAGGCCACTCCAGCCCCACAGTGGCCTTGCAGCTCCGAGTGACACGGGAGGAGAGATCTGCAAGGGGCAGCGGTGGCATCGCTGGTGTAGGACGAGGTTGGTCCTTGCTGGCTCAGGGCACTGGCATTTCTGCCAGGGATTTCTTGAAAGTGCAGAGCTGTGAGAGAGAAAAGCAAACGGCATGAGGGCCCCAGGCTCCTGTTGCAGCCTGACCACTGTCCACCCTCAGAAAGTCTGCAGGCCACCCCAGACTGTGGCATCTGGTCGACAGACTGGAGGGCAGGGCTGCTGTCTCACAGGAACCACAGGAACCCCAGGAGCATAACCCACATGGGCACTGAGAAGATGGGGCCAGACTCCTCACAAGGTACATGGCAGGAGGAGATCAACAGGCATAAGTATAGAGATGAAGGAAGTTCAGACAGTGTCTAAGGAGAAACTTATTCACCACGAGGGCAGTCAAGCAGTAGCTACCTAGAGAGGTTGTGTGGTCTCTATCCTCGGAGATGTTCAAGACCCCACTGGATAAAGCCCTGAGCAACCCATGCTGCTCTCACAGCTGGCCCTGCTTTGAGCAGGAGGTTGGTGTAGAGACCCCAAGGTCCCTTCCAACCTCAGTTATCCCTTGATCCTACAAAACCCTGTTTGACCCACTTGAGACAAAGAGCTAGCAAGCACAGTACCTGATGTCATCCCTACCAGAAACGCTCTACTAAATACTCTATTAAATCCTCCCGTACTGAGAAGCATGGATCTTATTTTCAGGGAATCCCCTTTCACTTTGAATGAATTTGCCAGTCAGAAATCTACAGATAAGGCAGAATTAGTGTTATGATATGCCAGTGTGGGAAGGGATTTACTGCTAAACAGATAGAAATTAAATAATCACTCGTAGAACACTTCACGCCCTGGAGCTGTCATGGTCTTCTTTGCAGCCATCTCCTGGCATAGGAAACGGTGGGTGGAGGGCACAGGAAACGGTGACAGGAGGGGAGAGGAGAGGGCCTGAAAGCTTAGCTTCTCCTGAGCACCTGGTCTGGCAACAGCCTTTGCCTGCCAGTGGGGGTTTGCCAGCTACGAGCTGTCTCTCTCTGGAATAAAAATGACAAAACATCTTCTGTAGGACCAAAGTGTTTGAATCAGCCCTCCTGAGCACCTGGTCTGGCAACAGCCTTCGCCTGCCAGTGGGGGTTTGCCAGCTATGAGCTGTCTCTTTTTGGAATAAAAATGACAAAACATCTGCTGTAGGACCAAAGTGTTTGAATCAGCCCCAGAACCAGCTGCTGACTGGAACATCTCCAACCTAAAGCAGCTGCAGGGGTCCTGTTAGCTAGTACAGGCCGTGACTACATGGGCAATCTGTCCCAAAGCCCACCACGCAGGGATGTCAGGGGTAGACAAGGACTCTCCAGGCAGAACATCCCCAGGGAGACATCCATCTCCTGCAGCAAACAGTGCTCAGGGAGCAGCCGACGTGTTTCCATCATGAGTCCATCTCCGGGGCCAAGGAAGTGGGGTGTCCTTGGCTGGTTTGGTCCTCGACCTTCACGCCAAGACAAGGGATTTGGGAGGGGGCACCAGCAACCAACAGAGGACACCGGTAGTGAGAAAACGACAGTCAACACGACCCCAGGGCAGAAAGCACCATGTCCCATTGACAGTCCCGGCCTCGTGAGCCACCTAATGCTCTCCAAACTTCCCTGCTGCTTATCTGCTGCTCTCCTGCACACGCTGCCTCTCCAATTTCTATTCCTGGCCCTCTTAATCCTTCCTGCCCAGGGAGCAAACGGCCTTTTGCAGCCTTCCTTGCTCAGCAGGCTATTTAAGCAAAAGATTTGTTTTGCTGAGCAGAGCAAAAGGGGCCACGCTTTTATGATATTTTACTAGACGCTGTGGCAAATCCTGCACATGTTTGACCTAGTGTCTGCAGCGTTTATCTAATCAAAGGGATCACTGTGGCCCGGCCAGGATTGGGATGGAGGTCCCTGGGATGAGGCCACGGAGGGGGCTATGCCCTACCTTAGCATCCCCATCCCAGTGTGCACATCGTAAAAACAGTTTTTGGCTCAGGACTGCTCCTGCTGAAGGGAAGAGCCACAGGCACGTGACTGTGGAGAGCTCTGGCCTCTCTCTTGGGAGCACAGACCGGATGATTGTTTTTCCTGCACCAAAGGATTTTTTATCACCAGTCCCCAGCGAGAAAGCAGGGGCTGTCCCCTGTGCTCAGCTTTGCTCCTGCAGACCTGTAGCCTCAGGGTAGAAGAGCTGTTTGGAAGTGCTGCGTGGGTCATCATTTCAGGGGGCAATGGCTGCTTGAACAATCCCTTGAGCTCCTAAAGTGCAAGCAGAAAATCGTCACTAGTGTCACTGCCCAGAGGGACGTGCTGTTGTGGAGCCAGAGACGTTGGTATCACGTTGTGACAGTGATGCCACCATGGCCAGGGTGGCTTGGGGTGCTAGCAGGGCTGGGGCTGTGTTGGGGAGCCTGGGAAGCACAAATGCAAGCCAGTTGGGAGCACAAATCAGCAGCTTGTGGACTCAGTCAGTCGCTGCTGGTTGCGAAATCCTGGGGATGTTTTCAATGCAGAGCGAGCTGATACCAAAGCATTAATTGCTGGATGTCTTGCGCCATCCAGCCCATGCCGTTCAGTGATTGATTAAATTCCCACTTGTTGATCTTGCAATTACATTGAACCATCCCGGTCCTGTGTAAAGCGGAGGAGGGATGTTCCCGGGGTCAGCTGGGGAGGAGAGCACCCAGGTTAGCAAGGAGAGCACCCAGGTTAGCAAGGAGAGCACGGGCAGCTCTGCCGCTCACTCCAGTCCCCCTTGCCCAGTACCAGTGGTGAGATGACAGAGCCACCCTTGGTGGCAGAGCTGGCACCTACAGAAGGAAAAATCTCACTGCAGAGTAAAGCTGCCTAATGAAAATTTTGAGACTTGTCAGTCAAAACCCAAGGTCAGGGGGTGTCTGGCACAGGGTGGCTCCAGCGGTGGGACAGGAATTGCCCCAGCAATGCCCAAAACACCCATGCCACCCCCTGACCCCACTTGCCATTTGGGCACAGCCGCAGTGGGATCAGTTTATAGGGCATCTAGCCCCTGTAAAACTCAGTTTATAGGGAAGTAAAAGGAGTTGTACATCGTTACTTTACATAGCAACGTGTAAATTGCCAGGCAGGCAATGACCTTCTCTGGCAGGGAGGGAAAAAAAAGGAAAGGTGTGGGAGGGATGGAGGGAGCAAGAGAAGAGAAAATCAGGGGGGAGAAGGCAACCAACGGTGGAGAGGGGAAGGCAATGACAGAAGAGCAACCTTGTTTTCCTGGTGGGGTTTTTTCTGAGTTTCCCACCCGAGGTACAATTTAGACCAACACCAGCAGCCCAGCATCAAGGTCAATAGCCCAGGAAGGTGTTCCCTGGGTGGCAAGAGCCTGCTCCCGCAGTCGTGCCTGTGCCTGGGTGCTGGGATTGGCAAAGTGTCTCGAGATTCAATAATAAACAGTCAACAAGAATCACTGCTGCTCCACCAAAAAAAAAAAAAAAAGCAGCGTTAGGCAGTAGGTGAGATGATTAAAGATTAACACACTGCCTCCTGCCTCCACCCCTCTGGGGAGTATAGGCCTTGAGGCTCAGCAAATCCTTTCAGAGAAATATTTGAAATAAAAGACAACAGATAGGGGACGCAGTGAAGGCAGAGGGAGACAGAAGGGCCAATAGCTTCGGACAAGGGAATCGGTACAATCTGGCCCGTGTTTGCTGATGATAATGCGCCTTTCCAAAGCCCTAATAGACATGGAGATGGCAGATTATAGCGCAGCGCTAGACCCGGCGTATACCACTCTGGAGTTTGAGAACATGCAGGTGCTGGCTATGGGCAACGGTAAGTCCCCTCCGTCTTCTCCCCTCCGTTCTGGTGGGATGAGCTGGGGGCTGCAGGAGGAGAATTCCCTGGGGCGGCCACCAAAATGCTCCTGGGAGGGCTGTGGCACAGCAGGGGTGTCAGCCATGGGCTCTCAGCAGCTCACTGTGGGGGGGGAACTGCTTTTTCTGGGGAGAAATAGAGGTGGCAGAACAATGCTGTGCTTGGCACAGGCGGGATGGTGCCTTGCAGCCCAGACAGCTCAGTGACGGGCAGATGCCAGGAGCTGGGTGTAATGAAGGGTCCCCATCAGACATTCAGCCCAAGGACTGAGGCTGGGGCTGAGCACAGGGTGGGGTCTCACCTCCCCTAGACCCCAGCCAAGAGAAAAGATTAGCCAAAAGTTTCCGAGAGAAACACTGCTGACAGCTCACGGGACAGACAGACCCGTGGCTCCAGAGTGGAGAACCCATCCCACCCCAGCAGCAGCTGGAGCTAGTTTTACCCAAAGCAGAAAACCATTTGGGCCTGGCAAGGATGGAAATCACTAGGAAAAGCGATTCAGGTGCTGCCCCAGCAGCCTGGTCCTTCCCCGTGCAGTGCTGGGGTGCAGGGTGGCATCTCCTGCCCTGGGAGCGCTGCGGGGCTGGGAGGCTCAGCTGCTGGAAAGAAGGGACCTGGTGGGGAAAAATGGGATCACACAATCCACCAGGATCTGCAGTGCTGACCCACCCACATGGGGACCAAGGAGCCCTAGTGATTAAATGCCCAGAGATAACAGGAGATTCCTCTCCAAGTCCCCCCTAAAGTCTCTCTAAATACGAGGTTAATGACTAAACGAAGCACGCTGCAGAAATGACCCCCTCAAGCCCTTTCCTCCTGCGTCACCGAGGCTGCCGGGGCAGCCCTGTCCCGGGGGGGCTGTGTTGGCAGCGTGGGCTCTCCCCTCACAGCCTGTGCGGGTCACCCCCAGTATACAGCTCTGCTCCGTCACGGATGTGATACCATGGTGCCCAAGTGGCTCTGCTGTGCAATAGCCCCCAGCCGCACTGGGTCTCAGCCCCTTCTCAGTTCCTCAGGCTGGGCTTACCCTCCCGGGGGTCTTGGGGCCAAGAGCTCTGGGCATCTTGCTCCCACCCCTCATGCAGAAGCTCCTGCTCAGGGGGCTGTGACTCCCTCCTCCTGCGACCAAGGGCTCCATGGGTGGGAGGGACACAATAATTTTATATGACAAGATCAGGCGCAATATGAAATACACCCGTGGGGGGGATGAATCAGCTGGGTCAGGCAGCACCAGCACCTCTCTCCTCCTCCTCCTCCTCCTCTGCCTGGCTCCAGACTGGGGACAGGTCTCACCTCCGGGGCTGCTTTGGCACTCCAGCAACTGCCTGCACCTCTGCCTGCAAAATCTCTGCCTGGAAAACCTCTGCCTGGAAAACCTTCTCCTCCTCCTCTGGCCGAGCACGGCAGGAGAGCTCAGCCCTGTCCTGCACAGCTCCAGCCCAGAGGTGGCTGCTCAGCAGGGACCAAGTTTGCCACTGTCACAGACCAAACGCATCCCATCTTCAGACAGGCTTGGGGACCTCTCAAGGGGCTCCCGTCCTCTTAACACAAATCTCTACTGCAAGAATTCAAATTTTAAGTAGGATTTCTTCTTTCTTTTATTTATCTTAACCCCAAATCAATCCCACTAATTGCCCTTCACTGCAGCAGCCAGAAGCCCACATTTCTGGCATTACAAAATAAACTTAATTGGAAAATTATCCATTAGGCAATAATTTCATTGTCAGTTGGTTGTTAGACTAAGATGTTGTAATTTCTTTGATAACGGTGCCAGTTTTTCCTGCTTTATGTTGATCTGATTCCAGCATGATATACTGCTAAAAAGGGATTTATCTGGGCTGTCACAGATACACAAGTAATGAGATTATAGGCAGATCAGCTCTTCCTCTCTGGAGGAAACTGGAAATTGAACTTTCCTTCTGGAATGACCTCCATCTAGCCGAGCCCTCGGGATGTGTTCAGAGGAAGGTTTTTGGAGGCAAGCTGGTCACAGGGATGAGAGGCAGCCAGAGCAGGCCTGGGGGAGGCTCCGGGCTTTGGGAATAGAAAGAGGAGCTTTGCACACACAGAAATGTGGCTGTGTCACAGGGTGTGCCAGGCAGGGACACAGAGGCAGCAAACTGACTCGGGAAAGAAATACAGGAGGGACACAAGGCATTAGGAAGACAGAAAGCAGGCAGGGAAATGAAAGCTGCTGCCAGAGCTGTAGAAGGGGCTGGCTCAAGATCCCTCATGCCAGTTTGCTGCTGGGGATCACAGGATCCACTCCAGGTTACACACGCCAAGGGGTGGCATGAGGAGGCTGTGCAGCACCTGCTGCAACATCCCTTTCTCTGCAAAATAAATGCTAATGTTGTAGCCTGCCCCAGGCAGGCCTGCCCCAGCCTCCCCCAAGACCCATGCTCCAGCTGCTCAAAGGAGCCCTGTTGGGATGAGCCCTTTTATAGCACCCAGCCCCCTTTCTGCTGGGTGCCAAGTGGGAGCAGCTGTGACCCTTCTGGGGCGAGAGTTAACTGCATCCCTGCCAAACCCAGCGACCAGGGACCAAGAGACCCAAGTATTAAACTCTCAGCAGGTTTCTATGGCTTTGTCTATCCTGGGTAGCATTTGCAGCCAGGATTTCCACTGAGGCAGGGGAATGTGCCCCTGCTGATACAGGAAAATGTGCATGGGAGGGGACAATTAGATCAACTGAATTAAGGGCTGATCCCTTCAGCCTTGAGGTTTGTTTGGTTTGCTGGAGGGGTTTTAGTGTAGGGCTTGTAGGGTTTGGAGCCTGTCAGATGTCCTTTCCTACAGAGGCTGCTGCAATTCCCCATTCTCCCAAAAAAGCCCTGCAATTGCCAGCCCTGCTCGGTTTGTAAGGGCTGTTAGACACATCAATCTCAGCTGTGGTGCTACCAGACTCTGGAAGACACCCAGCGTACAGCCTCCTCCATGCTATAGCCTCACCCTTTTTTTCTAGGTTAGTTTGATCCCCCTTTGATTCCCTCCCTTGTAGTGTTTGCCCACATGGGTTTTCCAGAAGTCGTTTAAGTTTGTTGTGTACTTAAAGTCTTGTTCTTCTGAAGAACAGCCGTGCAGGCTGGAGCTCCATGCCTGGCAGAGAAGCTCTTCAGCAAAGGGAGCTGGTCACCTCACTTCTCGAATAGTGTCTGCTCAAGGCTGTCTTGGGCTCTTTTGGGGCTATAACACAAACACCTCCCTAATAAATCAGCTGCTCACCCTGAGCTGTAATACCTCAGCTTTAACTCTGCACCAGTTTTTTCTCTGGCCACACTACTGCAGCCCAAAGCGTCTGCAAATCCCCAAGGAATTTTGGCTCTGCTCTGTCACTTCTGCAAATGGGTTTCCGCTTTGTCTGAAGGCGTCACTGGAGTCAGGCCTTTGGGAAGAGCTGTCCCACCCTGGCACACTGGGAGTTTTTGCACACTCAAAATGCAATGACTTAAGACACTCAGAGCACTCACCAGTCCTTAAACATCTCTCTGACCAGTCTCTGCCGCACAGCCTGGCTGCAGCTGCCTGGTTCCTCCAAAAATCAAGTCTCTCACTGGAAACGGAGTTAGGCAATGTTGGCTGTTTGTCTCACTGTCTTCTTCTTCCTGTGTCCTTCCTGAAGCAGACACGTCTCCATCAGAAGCAGCCAACCTCAACACTTCCAACAGCATCGGGGTGAGCGCGCTGTGTGCCATCTGCGGGGACCGCGCCACGGGGAAGCATTACGGGGCTTCCAGCTGCGATGGCTGCAAAGGCTTCTTCAGGAGGAGCGTCCGGAAGAACCACATGTACTCCTGCAGGTAAGGACAAAGGGGACAGAGTCGCATGGCTGAGACAAAACAGTCCCTAGGAGCTGAATGGCAAAGCCCCCGGAGCACAGCAGCATGGTCCTTCATCCTCTTCATCCTCTCTGCATCCTCCATCACCTTCCCTAAACTCACCCCTCAGCTGAGAAGGGCCAGAGACAGCTCTCACTCTGGGATTGCCCTCCAGTGATCAGCTGGGAAAGACCCTGGGAGGTCTGACCCTGTTCTTTAGGGGCCAAGCACATGTTCTTTGCATGTTCTTTGCAACTGTGGATGCAACCAGCAAGCGAGGTGGTGCCGGGGGGGGGAAAACCTTATCAGAGGAGCTGAGCACCTCACTGCTCTGTGCTCTGAGTGCAGCAAACCCCTGCTCACTCCCTGGGGGCACTTCAGTGACCTCCTATCCCTTTTCCATCACGAGATGGAAGTGTGTCTGTCATCTACCTAAAGTGCTGTTTACAGCATTTGCCTGTTACATGACGAAAGAACATCTAAGGACACAAGGTGGGCAGCATAGTGTGCACGTCTCTGGGGATGAGACATGCACGTTGCTCCTACAACTCATACACTGCACCTTTGTCACTGGTGGTAGCTCACAGCTCTCCCATGCCACCAGTGACTGTGACCTGCCTGCTCACTGCTCTGAGCAACTGAGACACAGAGAGTAGCGGGGGAAATCCAGGAATCCTCAGCTCAAACTGTCTAAATCGCTTGGGCTTTTTGAGTGAGTTACTCCTGATGGCCTGACAGCCACTTAGAGAGCATGAACAGCAACACGACGCTAAAATCTGAGGGACAGAAAGCTCTTGATTTGTGAAGGGCTTTCATGTGCACATGAAGCACGTTATCGCTTGCACCCCAGGGTTATTGGAGCTGGCTGCCCAGGGAGCCCCCTCTCCACAGCTCCAGTGGGAAAAGCCAAGGTGCCCGGTTCTTTGGAGACTAGAGCTTTTATATAAGTGCTACAGAAATGCTTTAAAAGCTGCTTTCAGGCATCCATTCGGGCAAATCTTAGCTTGGGGCTCTAAAAAGCGTGGTAGAAACAAGCCTTTTCAAAAGCTACAGAACTCGGCATGGCTGGGAGCCCTTTCTCAGCTCTGTATGCCTTTGTCTTTGCTTTGCAAGCTTCATCAATCCACAGTAAATTAGAGGAAATTTGCAAGTGAAATTCATGCTGCAAATGACCACCAGGCTCATGCTGCGTGCAAGCGCCACACACATGGGAGATCAGTGTTTGGTCCACCATGTGTGTTGGATTTGGTGATCCAAGTGTGGAGGGAAGGAGCTCGTTGCTCCCCAAGTCCTCTCCCAAGCACAGGTGGCTGCAGAGCTGTTTGCACACCAGCAATGCCATCCAGAGGACAGAGCCAACCTGCCTGGACGCCAGACACAGCCCTGGAGGGATGCAGGGACTTACACCTTACTAGCCCAAGAACAACCTTCTACACATTTCTTTTAAATTCAGAATAAATGCATTTTTCCTCCCTTCTAACTGGGATCTAACTTACAACAGAGGCTCCCAAGTTGGCTCTGACCCTCCTGCCTCACTCTTTTAACTTCACTGAGGCTCGTTAGTCCATCATGAGCATCCTATGCCCAGTGATTAGTGAGTAAGACCAGCAGCTTGACTGTGTGCAACTGTTAGCTCTATCCCATCCTCATTGAACATCCAGAGGTAGAGCAGAGGGCTGAGATGTTCAGTGCAAAGAAGAACCCCCAGGTTAAAGCAAGAGTGGAAATGGCACAGACCAGGGCTCCCTTCTCAGGGTGAGACTCTGGGAACCTGCTCTGGTCGTGTCTTGGAGTTTGGGGCACTGTCTTATCCTGCCTTCAGGCTCAGACTTGCTGCTCCTCACAACCTCTCTTTCTTCCCAGGTTCAACAGGCAGTGTGTGGTAGACAAAGACAAAAGAAACCAGTGCCGGTACTGCAGGCTGAAGAAGTGCTTCCGAGCAGGAATGAAGAAGGAAGGTGGGTGATGGTGTGGCTTCCCTGCGCTCTCCCCAGCAACCACCCCGTTTGAGGAAACCCTCTCAGCCCAAGGCCAGTCCCCGCTGTGGACACACTGGCCCAGCCACCTCAGCCCTGTCTTCCCTCCACAATGCTCCCCTTTGCACAGACCCAGACATTACAGTGGGATTTAGGGAGGGTTTTGGCATCCAGTCACGAGCCCTGCGTGTGCCCAACCTGTCCCACTCCCACCTGTGCAAAGTCTTTGAAAGCAGCCATCATCCCAAGGGTTGAGGATAAGGCAGGGGGGCCCTGTGTGCTCCCAAATTCAGTTTCAGTGTCCCTTCTCAGGGCACCTCTCAAAATGCCAGCAAAGACAAGCCCACGAGTGCCACAGGGCCTCAGAACTGCCCGTGCTTATACATAGAAATCACACCTCGACCTCTTCAGCTCACCCTCACTCGCACTGACACACACACACCAGTTACGCTCCCACGTAGCTGGGACATCTGAGCCCTTCAGGAATGCTTCTCAGTATCAGTGAGAAGCAGAAACCTCAAAGACCTGGAAATTTTGAAACGCTTTGGGAAAACTGCTTTAAGTGCTGTTGCCCCAGAGTCACTGCAAAATCCACAGCTGGAGAGGTGAGTCCAGCAAAGGTCCAACTGTCATTTTGCCCCTCTTTCCTAAAGTGCATGTAGGTTCTTGCTGATCCTCTGCAGAAAGTTTAGTTTTATCTGATACATCAGCCACAGCAGAAAGCTGGAGCATTTTGGCTATTTAACTCCCTACGAAATGAGTAAAGATATCCGCCCCCTTGCATGGCCCAGGCTCACCCCACCAACTTCCCTGCCTCTCTGACTCTGCAGCCATTCCAGGACCCCAGGACTCAGACACAACGGGACAGGATTCACCCCTTGTTTATCCCCACATGGTTCTCGGGAGTGTTCACAGTGGCAAGGAAACCTGAGGCTGCTGATGGTGCTGCTGGTGGCCCTGCTGGTGGTCCTGCTGGTGGTCCTGCTGGTGACCTTGCCTGTGGTCCTGTTGGTGGAGGACCAAACTGCAAGGAGAAGCCCAGAGGAGCTGCCTGGCACCCCACAGAGCTCACCCCATTGATGTCTGCAAAGGGACAACCGGGATGCATTTGGCCCTGCTGTTCCCTGTAGAGGAATTAAACCAGTGCTCCCCCCAGTTAACACTCCCTTGAGGAGAAACTTAGAGAAAAGGGGTCCTTGAAGACAACAGGGAAGTACCAGCAGTACTTGGGTGGCTTCCCCAGGAACACTGTGGGAACACCTCTGAGCAGGAGCATTTCTTCCCTGTTAAAGGGGATGGGGTATTGCAAGGAACTTGGCTTGACTTTTCCTGAAGAACATAGGAATCCTCCTCTCCCTGCAGCGCCCGCTCATCCCATGCCCAGAGCTTTGCTGCTGTCTGTTAATATTCAATAGAAGTTACATTAGGTGCATGACCAGCTAATACTGAGCAAACATTTGGAAAACATCATGGCGTGACTGAACTCGGGGGCCTGATACTGATAACAAGCAGCATAACCTTGAGAGCTCCTATTTACAGCCGCTGACTGCAGGGCTTTTCTCCTGGCCCAGCCTCATTATTGCTTTTTATCAGGCAGATTTATACATTGAGAACGTATTAATCCAGAGAGCCACCAGCCTAAGGCAGGGACTGTTCTGTTTCCCTTGCCATCGATCAATACCGTATTTGAGCAGATGGCTTTGACTGGCGGGGCTGTGGTGAGTTATGGCCAGCCCACGGCCTTGTGGCAGGTAGAGAGGCAAATCCTCCCCCTGCTTCTCCACTGCTTCTGCTCTGGCTGCTGACACCTCTAGACTCAAAGCTCAGATCCTCAAGACCAGACCAAGCAGGGAGGCACGTTGGGGTCAAACCTGTCCTGGGAATCTCTTTACATTAAGGTACGAGAGGGCTCTGTTGCTCTGGATAGATAAGGAGGAGCTGTTCTGCACTTCCTTCCTTATTGTAGCTTAGACGGAAGTTTTCCAACCGCACCTACGCAGTTCAGAGCTTCCTGGAGCTCACAGAAGTCATGCAGACAGACAAAGAAGCCATGGAGATACTCGACTCCTCCGTCTCACACATAAGCTTTGCGCTGCATGTGTGAACATGGCCACCACTTCAGGTCCCATATCTTGAAATCAAAAAACTTAGAGCCAGATCCTTTGAAAGGAAACTTTCCCATTGAACTCTACAGGCTTTGAACCAGGAGCCTGGGCTGTGAAACGACCCCGTCCCAGGGAAGCCTAATAAAGTCAATGTGAAAAGAGAACCATCAGATGTAGTCGGCTCTCGCAGGCATCCCGTCACAAGCCAGACACCACTGCACCTCTGCCCTGCCAGGCAGGGAGGCTGGGAAACTGCAGCTAAGGAAGGGGAAAGCCAAAACTCTGTGCTGGTTTTCGGTGTGCGTTGCCATGACTGACCTGCAGCTCAGCCAAAACACTCTCTTGCAGCCGTACAAAACGAACGGGACCGAATCAGCACCCGGAGATCCAGTTACGAAGACAGCAGCTTGCCCTCCATCAACGTCTTACTGCAGGCAGAAGTCTTGGCACAACAGGTATCTCTTCTTTCTTCTTTGGCAAATACAAAAGCATCAGGCACTATCTGGCCAGTAGAGCCAGCTGAGTATTTACCAGCTGAGTCTTCAAATTACCACCTCTTTTCTAAGTAACTTATCTGCCAACTCAACACTGGTTTTTCAAAAGCATTTGTTACCTGAAACCATCCTTTTAATGCTCCTTGGTCCAGAACTCAGTTGTAATAATATGCAATAATCTGTTCTGCTTTGATGGGACACATTAAGGCTGGAGAGCCTGCTGGAAGAAAATAGGGTAGAATGCTTGAAATCTGAGGAGCTGTGGCCACCTAAGCCAGCTGAGGGGCTGATCTCGCACGAGCAGCCTCCCTTCCCTGTTAGGAGCTTTGGATCCTGGCTTCCTGCACAGTTTCATGAGGAATCAGTTTCATGCTTGTTTTATGCAGATATTCTTTCCAGTGTGTGTTTGAAATTCCCCATTCTCACAAGCATACTGCCAAGACTTATTTCCTAGAGTGTTCACTTGAAAAGATGGCTCCGTTTTAAGAGCAGCACTCCCAGTCAGGGGGAAAATGAGGGATTTGCATTGACAGTCCATGTTCTTCCTTGCTTCAGGGGTCACATTACCCTGAAGACTGTCCAGGGAGATGCTCCAGGACAGGATGTGTCATGCCCTGGGCTCTACATTAGGACTCAGGCTTCAAGGTCCACTTCCCTGAGAAGGGGATATGCCAGAAGGGCTACAGGGCAATCCTGTACACAAGATGTGTGTCCAATCTCATTGCACATCTCACCTTGTCCTACGCAGGCCCTAATGTATTTATATACCCTATAAAAATAATATTGGTGCTGCTCCCAGAAGTGCACCCAGATAATGGGGTCTCAAGTCACCAGAGCTACAAGGGAAGGACATTTCCAGGAGTCTGAGTCCTGCAGTGCCATCACATGTAAGTCTGGAGCAGGGGCTGCGGATAAAAAACTACAACCACCAACAAATCCAGGGGAGCTCCTGCTCTCCCACCGAGCACAGAGAGACTCATTAAACAAGGCAGGCTCCAGCACAGTAATTGGTAACTTTTATGTGCCTAGCTAATTAGAATAAGATACTGCTGAGGAGCTGCTTTCTCCAAGATCTTGGGTCACTCACTCAGAGGTCTTTATTTATTTGCTAAGCCTTCCGGGCTCTCTGATTAGGGTAATACATGGTGAGATTTTTACAATCTTATTTATTCAATAATAGCTGGAGAGCTGGAAAGCTTCCAGGTAATGCAACCTGAAAAAAAAAAAAAATTAATGCAGGTGGCATTTGAACTCCATTTCCTTGGGGAGGCTGGCAGGGTCCAAGCTGAGAATGCTGGCAGGAAGAGGACAGGAAGAGCTGATGTTGTACAAGAGCAGAGAGGGCAGGTGGAGGGCAGCGACGGGGTTGAGTTAATTGCTTACAGAAGCATGAGGATAAAGTAGTGACTAAGGGCAAATTTTTAGATGAGCTGGGTGAGCAGCTATGCATGAGAACCGGGCAGGAGGTTGGGTGCCTGCTTTGGGGGAGATGTTCTTTCCAGCTCTGTGCGATGGTACTTGCAGAGTTGTCAGGCTTGTCCTTTGCAAATGAAGTGGCCCCGTTGGCCTTTGCAATCACAAAATTTGACCTGTGCTGTGGGCATGTTTGGACACACACGGTTTTGCCAAAAGGGCCTGAAAGCTGGAGGGAGGTGGGAGATTGTTGTCTATAAAGTCTGTCTTTAGCATTCCAGCATGGGTAATGACAAATATTAATGACCTGGTGGTCACAGAAAGCAATGTCAGACCTGGAAAGCTCCCTTCTTGTGCTCAGGCTGACTCAGAAGGAGAAGCAGAGCCTGTGTGCCTCCTGTCAAAAGCAGGGGAGGTAGATCTGGCCAAGCACTGGTTCTAGAGCAGGGTGGAAGGGGAAGCACTTCTCTGCCCTTTGGTGGGACCAAGTAGCTTGTGCAGCAACACTGGGTGGATGTGTCCTTGCTGTAAGGACACCAGTAAGTGCTACTGGTGAGGCTCACTGCTACACAAGCCCCTCTGTTCCCTCCTGGATCTTGACTGAGCGCATTTGTTCAGTGGGAGGAAGACCCTGGCTTTAGAAACATTTCTGTGCTTTCCAGTCTATTCAAGGCACAACCATTTACCAAGATGTTCCACAGCCTCAGCTCTGAAGCACTTCATGTTTGCAGATCCCCAAGTTGATCTCAATTTAAACAAATTGTGCTACATATTCTGGGGGCTGGATGTGCAACAGAAAAACGTAATTGTTGATGCTGGAATCTGCATCAGCACAACCCATGAGCTGGGGATTTTCCTGTCTATTGTTTCCTCTGTGGCACTGAAACCTGAAGGACCTCTTCTCTCCTTCCAGATATCATCCCCGGTTCCCGTGATCAATGGAGACATCCGAGGGAAGAAGATTGCCAACATCTCTGACGTGTGTGAATCCATGAAGCAGCAGCTGCTGGTGCTGGTAGAATGGGCCAAGTACATCCCTGCCTTCTGCGAGCTGCCCCTGGATGACCAGGTGAGTCCCTCCCTCCACCCCACCTCGCTCTGCCCCGTCAAAGGCCGTGGGGAGCTGAAGGAGAGCCAGGCAGCTGAGACCTTCAAAGAAAATGTGCATTGTTCACTCTGTTATCCTGACTGCTGCAGCTGATTGGGAACGGCATCCATACAATGCCAGCTCAGGCCATTTGCATGGGCAGCTAATCAGTCAATGAGCACAGTCATGATAACACTGAGCTCGAATTAGGAACATAATCAGGTGCGCATTTTGCATGGCTCTATCAGTCAATTATTTATTAATTATCATTTGCGCAGCGCTTTGAAAACCTGAAGTGCTATACAAATACTTAAGGTAATCAGACTTAGGAGGACAGATTTCTAGCCTAAGATCTGCTCAAGACCTAAAACCAAATCTGCCTGTCTATCTTTCCTTCTGCCTCTTGCTCGGACATATGTCTGTATCTGTTCTCCTGGTGCGGAATTAGGGAAACTAAACGCTAGTTTACTCTCATGGCAATAAGAAAATCTCCCTTCAGAGTTGAAAAACAGAAATATATTTGCATTTAACACCAGTTACTAAAATTATGTTTACTCATTCCATAACCAAGATAAGCATGGTGGGCTTGATATCACCTGTAAAACTATACTGCAGGATCTCAGGCAGCCTCAAAGAGGTGCAAGGAGGTATCTCCTGTGTAAGTCTAAATTTCAGAGGTCTGCAGCAGATGTTGATGTGCGCCCAGCTTTGAACAACACGTGTGTATGCATGGTGAGGAGGCTGCAAAGGGAAGGGATAGCACTTCTGGCAGGGTACAGCGCTTCTGGCAGCAGCTAGCACAGGTCCTGTCACAGGTAGGAAGGTATTTCCAATCTGCCCAGTGTACAGTCAAGAAACCAGCATGTGTTCCCTTCAGCTAGGATCAGTCTCCAGCACTACTGATCTAGAGGTAATTTTTATATCATGAAGAAAAAGGATATCCAGCAAGTGAGAGTATCTAGATGATCAAAACCCCCTAAATCCTAAATCTGAGCTCTTCAGTAATCCCCCACCAGCACAGAGCCCTGGGGAATTCAATACTGTTAACACACGAGCATATTTCCCTCTTTTTTCTTGTGTGCAAGTGCTAAATTGTTTAAAATGTTAAGAAATCTGTTAAACTCCTAAGGCAAATACAACTCCAAAATGATGAAAACCAAAACGCATTCCAATGGCAAATGACTTTCACACCCAGCAGAGCTTGGGGCAGCTCGGCATAACCCACTGCATCCTTGTGCCATTTGGAACAGAGGCAGCACACCTGGTTAATAACTGCAAACTACAGAGCTCATTTGGCACTTGTGGAGCTGCAAAATTTCTCAAAGAAGAAAACAAAACTTAAAGGTGACACTGTCTGAACCCTGCCTTCCCACAGGGGAGAGGCTGTTCCCAGCATGTTTCTCAGTCTCGACTGAAACTGGTCTTCTGTTACGACCAGCCATTCCCCATCACAGGCAGTTCCCAGTCAGTCCCAAAGGGCTTGAGAGGAGAGATTGTGCTGCATTAAAACTAATCAATTCAGGCCATCCACACTTTCCGAAGGACAGTTTGAAAACAAAGGCAGCAGACACTCAGGGGAGCACAGGAGGAAGGAGAGAAATACCAGGGAGCAGGAATGAACAAAACTACACACAAGCCAGCTGCCCAAGCGGCACGAGGGCCAGTCAAGACATGTCCAGTGGGAACATTTGATGTTGGGAAACACTGTTAAATTGCCATTAAAATGTTGCCTGAGAATGAATCATCTCTGCCAACATTTTTATAAGAAAGGTCATACCTAACCCCTCTTTCTTCCTCTGCACCAAAATGTCAAAGTACTGGGTTTGGTGGGGCAAAGCCATTTAATTTCCAAGTTAAAGTTCTACTTTGTTGTGTTACAACATTTATATTTATCCTAGTTCACAATGCAATGATGTTTCTGAGGTTGATCACTGCAAGAACAAATATCAGATGAGATGGTTTTGCCTTGTTCAAGTAATTTACTTTAACCCTGCTCAAACAAGCAAATGGTGGTTCCAATGGTGGTTGAGCTTTCTTGAATTTGCATTATGCAGCAAGTTTCTGCAAGAGGGGTTTGCTCCCCCTTGGGACTCACAGTTTTTCCATCCTTCTCAAAGTTTCCTCAGTTTTGTGCAGCTCTGGGAATTACAAGCAGCTCAGCTAACACATCCACCCATGTTTGGACAGCGATAGAAAGAGGCTAGATTTTGGCATATAGATAAAGGTTCCCCAGCATCATGTGTGTGTAGCCTTTTTGCAAGGACCTCCGTTCTGTTTATTTTGCATAACTCTTTTTCACCCTCTGCAAAAAAAACGTTCCTTTCTCAAACATCAGCACCTTTTCTAACCAGAGTTCTCTTCTACAAGTGACATGTTGTCCAGGCATTTCTCATAGGGTAGAACTTCTCTTGGCTTTGCCAGATGCTGAGGGATAACACACTGGAAAAGGGGACCATTCCCATCAGGACACACGTTTTAGAATCTCTCCATTAATGTTTAATGATTGTTTTCTCCAGCAGAGGCTCCTGGCTGGACATTAAGAAGCCTCTGTGTCAGGCTGTCCAATCGTTAACTTCTGTTTCTGCCTAAATCTCTGAAATTTTTAACTGAAGGAGGGCAAAAGATACAGAACATTCTCAGGAACCACTGGAGGGTGTAAAATGAAACACTTCAATCATTAACGTCAGGGCTGAAAAACATCCCTTTGTCTTCCCTGGCCCAAATGCCCGCTTCTGCAGAGGGAAGGAATGGCCAGAGGGTGACCCCACCAGCCAGGCAGACCTGGGTCCCCATGAGTGTGATTTCAGTGGGAGGTGGGCACAGCCCACAGGGACAGCAACTGTCCGCAGCACTGGATCGTACTCCTCCCCATTTCCCAGGCTGGAGCACGGTCCCCAGTTCTGCACTTGGTAGGAGTTGTTTTGTCTGCAAACAGCCCACTGTGAACACATCCCACTACTGGTGTGAGGTCCTTGGGACAGTCTAGCATAGTCTTGCTCAGGACATGTGCCATGAAGATGAGATGTTTCAGGTGCTGTCAATTATCTACTGGTTCTGCTGGATTTATAGCTGTTTATGCACAGGAGATCATTTTTTGACCTCTTTCTCTGACTGTGACTGGAGAGAGTCCCTCACTCCCCATCCTTGAGTGCAGCACAGGAATTCTGGGCTTTTTCCCTCTTGCCTGTGTGAAATCACAGCCTCGGCTCTGTCTCTGCATCACCCAAATAACTTTTCCCTGCCCTTGCAGGTAGCGCTGCTGCGAGCACACGCAGGGGAACATCTGTTGCTGGGAGCTGCCAAGAGGTCCATGGTGTTCAAGGATGTCTTGCTGCTAGGTAAAGAGTGCACTTCTTCTCCTGGCCCATCTGCTGCTGCAAAGCTTCCCTGACGCAGTGAAGGAGAGGGTGGTTCAGTGTTTGAGGGCATCCTTTTTGAGGGTGGCTTGATCTCTTCTGTATTTTAGCAAGCTTAGCACAAATTTTGGGTGCAGCTAGGCCTGGCTGACATCTATGTCAAGGCAAAGTTGGGGGACTGTGAACATTCATCTTGCTCCCCCCAGGTTTGTATAAGCAGGCTGTGGTGTGATTGAGAAAGACTCTCACTCCTCATTCAGCGTTTCCTCGCTTGAGTGACTCCTGAGTAAGGAGAGGCTGCTCTGGCAACACAGATCAGCATTTCTGGTGGGTTGAGCCAGGGAAGGGGCAGAAGAAACTTCTGAAGTCCTCCACCCTCAAAATTATCTTAGCATTGGTTACCTGGGTTTTGAACTCCTTGCCACCCTTGATAAGTCTTGGTCAATGACAAGGTGATGGTTTCTGTGCTGTTTGTCAAAAGGAAATGACCACATCATCCCACGGAACTGCCCTGAACTGGTGGAGGTGAACCGTGTGGCCATCCGCATCCTCGACGAGCTGGTCTTCCCCTTCCAGGAGCTGCAGATAGATGACAATGAGTATGCCTGCTTGAAAGCCATCATCTTCTTCGACCCAGGTATGCGCCAGCTTGATGAGGGTTACCATCAGAGTGGACTAGTCTGTGTTATGCTAATACTGGCCCTGAGTTGTGGAAATGCTGGCTGGTCTCCTCCCTGGGCCAAACTGTTCTTAGAGGGAGGGGAGAAGTCAGCCTTAGAAAAAACTTCCATTATAGCAGATGGTACACAACGAGAGACAGCCCACCCCAGCCTGCGCCCAGACTCTGTGCTGTTACTGAAGGGTAGTTCCTAGAGAGGCAGCCTGGATATTTTGCTCTGTGGGTTGTTTCAGATGCCAAAGGACTGAGCGACCCCTCCAAGATCAAGCGGATGCGGTACCAGGTGCAGGTCAGCCTGGAGGACTACATCAACGACCGGCAGTACGACTCGCGGGGCCGCTTTGGGGAGCTGCTGCTGCTGCTACCCGTGCTGCAGAGCATCACCTGGCAGATGATAGAGCAGATCCAGTTTGTCAAGCTCTTCGGCATGGCCAAGATAGACAACCTGCTGCAGGAGATGCTGTTGGGAGGTGAGTACTTGAGGGTCCTACAAGAGGCCTCTCAGTGCTCCCTGATCACTGGCCCCTTGAGAACCTCCATAGCCATTGTTTCCTACTTGAAAAAGGCAGAGACAGCCTGTGTGCAGGTCAGCCCTTGATTCACACAAAATCATCTCCCCCTGTCATTGGCAGCAGTAACAAAAGGTCCTCCATTTCTCACCTAAGGAGATGCATTAGCTGCGCATCTATTTATTGAGAGCTGTGCCCTCTGCATGCAGACAAGTCTTGATGGACAACCCCCAAACTCCTTCCAGCCAGCCATTTCACTAATCCTGCTCTGTGCCAGAAGGGAGTCATCAAAACAAAAGGGTCTGAAAGGGCAGGTTGAAAGAGTGTCCCAAATTTTCTACTGGGAGCATCCAATGGGACAAAACAAAGTCAAAAGTTGCCACTGTGCTATTCTTTACGTGAAGGTGTGACTCAGAAGGAGAGGACTATAATCCTGTATAAGAGAGCTAGTGAGCCCAAGGCATCCATGGGGGAAGAAGGGAAGGGTGTGCTCCAGTCACATACACACAAGCAGATCATGCATAAAGCCTTTGACGTTGTGGTGCAGTGGGTCTGCCCATCTGAACTGTCTCCTCCTGTCACCATGGCAACTAATGTCATATGCACGTTTTTAGGCTCATCAAGTGAAACGCCGCATGCTCATCACCCCCTGCACCCTCATCTGATCCAGGAGAACCTGGGAACAAACGTCATTGTGGCCAACACAATGCCTCCTCAGATGCACAATGGGCAGATGTGTGAGTATTGCCAGACGGATGGAAAGCTCCCAGAAGAGACCAGGAGCTTTCCAGAATCCCTGTGGAGGTAGTTTCTATCTTGCAAGCAAATTTCCATGTAAGACAGAGTCTCTGATAATGAGTATGTGAGAAATTCCTATGCAGAAAGGAGGGAACGACAAACAGAAGGTCAGATTAGATTAGGTTAGACTGACTCAACAAGATGTCCCCTAGCAGACTGTAACTTTTATCTGGCCCTAAAATTTAAGGATGAATGATCCCATCCAGTGCCTGCTGATATCAATGGAAAGGCTCCCCTTCCCTTGAATGGTTCAGACACGCCTCACTTTGCGCAGGAGCTTTCCAGAATCCCTGTGGAGGTAGTTTCTATCTTGCAAGCAAATTTCCATGTAAGACAGAGTCTCTGATAATGAGTATGTGAGAAATTCCTATGCAGAAAGGAGGGAACGACAAACAGAAGGTCAGATTAGATTAGGTTAGACTGACTCAACAAGATGTCCCCTAGCAGACTGTAACTTTTATCTGGCCCTTAAATTTAAGGTTGAATGATCCCATCCAGTGCCTGCTGATATCAATGGAAAGGCTCCCCTTCCCTTGAATGGTTCAGACAAAAACACAGGTTCTCCACAAAAACACAGGAGAGTCTGGTCCACCACACTGGGTCACCACATGGGACCACCACTTGGGAATCTGGGCTGAAATGACTTTAGCTGACCAGAAAAGTGGCCAGTACAGGTTAAAATGCCAATAGCTCCCCTCATTCAATGTTCAGTATCGTGGCTTTTCCAGGGCATCTAACCCCACCTGTGTGGCTGGGCTGCCTTGCAGCAAACATTAGGAGCTATGGTTTTGCTGCAGAGCTTTTGCTTTGCTTATACCTGAACCTGGCAGGACTGAGGGCAGTTCCCAGTGCTGTCAACTCTTCTAATTTTATTTTTCTCCCTGTAGCTACTCCAGAAACTCCACAGCCATCTCCACCTGCAGGCTCAGGACCAGAGCAATATAAGCTGCTGCCTGGAGCCATTGCAACCGTGGCAAAACAGCCCACCTCCATCCCGCAACCCGCCATCACGAAACAGGAGGTCATCTAGCAACCTGCTGACCAGCTGGCCTCGTTTAGAAGACCGTGTGGGAGAAAAGCCTGAAGTGACTCTGCCACTGTGAAAAGAGAAGCCATCCAGAGGTCACCGGGCACAAACACACGGACTTGCTTATTGGACTAGTCCACCACCGCCAAAAGCTGTCTTCCTGCAGCTACGGACAGCATGTGCCATGGGCAGCCCCCAGCCCCAGAACTAAGGTTGAAGCCTTACTGAAACCCTCAGTCCTTGCAAGAAGGGCCAGATTTCTGCCACTCTCCGTGGGGAGGTTGCGGTGACCGGCTGGGGACGGTGCAGCTGGCTGTTCCCCCATTGCCACCTCTCAGCGTTGGTTCAGCACACACCAGACACTGAGAACAAGAGATTCTCTGTGCTTTGTGAATGGGGGGCTTCCCTCCCGCAGCCATGCCAGCTCCCCAGACAGTCCCCAGTCCAGTCAAACTTGATGGAGATGGAAGCTCCCCCAGGAGCATCACAGCACATGGGTTTTGCTCAGGCAGCACTGGCAGAACCGCTCCTCAGCCATGGCTAGTCCCAGGTCTTTGCATGGTGTCACCCTCCAGCAAACTTACCCCCCCAGCCAGGTCTAACAAATCTGTTCAGCTGATACTGGGGCAAAGTCTGGCCCACTGGGATTCTCCACTATGTGGATCCTTCTGCCTTTTGAGGGGTTTTGTTATTTCAGTGCTATGACCACCCTCCCACCACAAGGCTCAGAGAGGCAACCACTGCCAAATCCTTCCCTTACACCACTTACTGCCTCCTCGCTACCTGGACTGGGAAGTTGGGGGACCATGGGATTCAGGAGATTTCAGCTAATGGGATGGGGTCACCCCCATACAGGCTGGCAGTGGGCAGCACTGCCCAAAATATCACTGGCCCCACTACTACCTCTCAGCAGTCAGAAGACCATTGGATGCCTATTTGGAAGGAAAAGGGGGGGAAGGACATATGAAGGGGAGAGGCCTGTGAGGGTGAGAAGGGCCCAAGCCTCAGAGACTGGACCAAGGTCTTGGTCTGCCCAAGCGCTGGGAGCATCATGACCCAGGATCTCAGTTCAGACCCAGCTTTAATTTTAGATATGCCATATAATCTACTTGTCCAGTCCAGTGCCACTCCCTCATCTTAGAGTGGCTGATAACAGATTTATAGGTCTTCATAACAAGATAAGAATTTGTTATGGCTCTTTTAGACCTCAGAGGGTTTGAGGGCAGCAACTTCAAAACCACAATGCTTCGAGTCCTGCAGAGAAGATCGTCAGTGGTCAAGGAAAGACCCTGTCTTGCCCAAGCCCCTTGGGTCTGCCCCAGCCATGGGTCTGCACCCGCCTGCCCTGCTCCCTCCTTGCCACAGTCCCTGTTTCTCTGTGCCTGCCTGTGCCAAAGCCCTGCAGATGTGACCTTTGGTTTACAGCTGAAACCAGGAAAGGAGCCCTCCTGTGCCCAGCGCTCCCAGCAGGGCTGGAGCTCACATGGCTTCAGGCCTGAGTCATTTCTGGCAGCGCAAGGCAATAGCTGCTCTAAATAACCACAGACTATGTGGGGTGCTTGGCTTCATCTACCAGATGAAGCTGGTGGAACCAAGGCTGCCAAGAGGTCCCTGGTGGGGACGAATCTGGGCCAGCCCCAGCCAGAGGAGCTGGAGGTCTGTCCCTTGATTTCCAATGCAAAAATGAAACAACTCGCCTTGCGCTGATGGTGTCAGAAGTATCGTATCGTCTCCCAACACTGGTGGCATCGTACCGAGTAATTTATTGCAATGATGAATCCAATCATTTTCTGTAAATTATTTTGTAAATCACATTGATTGTTTATAATTGGGAGATTAAATGCAAAAAAAACCCAAACAACCCCGTAATAACAGGCTGTCTTTTCCAACTGCAGCAACCTTTTTTCCTGTACGTAGAGATACTCTGTGGGGAATCCTTTTTGGTCCATTTACACCAAGCATTCCTCGATACTGTACATTAATTTTTGCTGGTTACTGCCTTCCAATGGAAACAGAGGAATATTTCTTCACTAGAGTTTGTATTAAAAAAAAAAAAAAAAAAAAAGAAAAAAGATAAATAAATGCAGAAATATTTTCTAACTTTTCCCAGACAGATGGATTTCTTTCTTCTGGGAGGATTTATTTTAAATCAAGGGGCTCACCTTCATGTTGGGCTGAGCACAAAGCATATGTGTTTTGAGAAAAAAGCCCAAACAAGTATTGATGCTGTCGCCAGCTGTCACTATTTCCTGGCAAGCCTCATGTTAGCTGATGTCTGTCCTGGAGCCACGTGTGCAGGAATCGTAAGATTGAATGACAATCCCAATTTTCATTAAAAGAAAAACAAACACGAAGATAAATATTTGCTTTCATGATTCCAGAGAGACTAAAGACTTGAAGCGACCACACTGTGAAAGCCAAGTGAAGGAAGCCAAAATATGTTATTAGCATTTCGAATGTGTTCATTTTTAAGTCCCTCTTGTATTTCAAAGGTAATTTCTAAGCACTTTAGGGTGATGACTCTGCTTTGGTTCACACACAGCCAAGCTACTGCTGGCAGCAGGTGCAGCCAAAGGCAAACTGAGCCTACAGGGCACAATAAGGCGATAAAGTGAAAGTCAATTTGTCACTGGTTGTAAAGGTGAAGAAATACACTGACAATTAGAGAAGGCTCTTAATGACCTGTTTTTCTGCTCACGGGACCCTGCTCTCAGGTGTAGCATGCCAGGAAGATAACGGGAAGAAGGGAGAGAAGTCTAGATGGCTGTAAAGATTAGGTACCCAGGGAGGAACAACATTCAGCATTTTCATCTGCAGCAGGTGCCCCTCATGTGTCTCATCTCCCACCCTTGAGGTGAAATGGGGTGGGCAGTCCCATCCCAGGTATGAGGGCTCAAGAAGCAGCCTGATTTTCCATCCCACTTGCACATCCAGTGGCTTTCCAGTGACCGTCAATGCAGGTGTGAGATGCAGGAAGGAGATTCAGAGCTGCATTTGAGGACCTTGTGGAGACAGCACTTAGAGACTGCCTCCACTCTGGGGCCAAGGACCCAGGAGAATAGGACAGACCTCAAATAGTATACCCTCAACACATGTGCACCCACAATGATCTAGAGCCCTGATGCCTGAACAAGGCCAGCAAAGGCAGTCGCAGGACACGTGTTTTCTCAGCACACACACAGCGACATAGTATGATGCCTGAACAAGGCCAGCAAAGGCAGTCGCAGGACACGTGTTATCTCAGCACACACACAGCGACATGGTTAGTCCAGTCACGAGGAGGAAAAGGAGTTAGTTCCTTTGTTTAATGCAGAATAAAAACAAGGATTCCTCTGCCACAGGAACCTTGTGACTCATGGTTGGTTTTGCCTGGGTATATGCCCTAAAAACTCCATATATGTAATATCAAATCTTTGAAGCAATAAATCCCATGAACTGCTCTATCAAGGTTGCCCTTTACCTGGTTAATCTTAAATCAGTGCAGTCCCTCCAGGAGGTTTCTTATTGCTGGATTCAGCTCACTCGGGAAAAAAACCACAAACTGCTCCAGAGACAACCTTGTCCTTAAGTGGCATCCTCGATCCCAACGCTCAACTGTTCTGTCACTCCAGCCTGGAGTGTGAGACACTGGTCTTGCCTCTCGTGGGCTGTGGTTTATCCTGCTGGGCTCCCTGGAGCCCACAGGCAATGTCCCACGTCACAGGAGATGGCTGCTGTAAGGACAGCTTGTATCAGCCTTTAACACACAACTTTCTGATGTTGTTTTTGGACACAAGAGCTTTTTACTGTTCTCTCCTGTGCTTGCAACCCAGACTAAGGATGATTTCCTGGAGAGCAGTATCTCCAGCTGTGAAATCTTTTCACGATGTCCAAGCAAAGATATGTGAAAGTGGTATTTTTAGGTCCTCTGGCCACTATTAAATGCATTCTTTTCACATTCCTTATATAACCTTCATTTGAAATAGGCAACAGGCTTTAGAGCCTTTTCCACAGCTTTCATATCTCAGCAGGGTTAAAAAAAAAAAAAAAAAAAAGTATGGCAAACGAGTTTTATGACCTGCATATCATCTCTGACAAAAGCAACTATTGCTGCTATTAAACTTGCAAGTGCACACGCAGGCACAGATAGCCATGAACAACAAGTAGCAGCAGGGACGGCTCAGCAACGTGGCACTGCTGAGCCAGGCAATTCTGTGTGCCAGGCTGGCCAGTTCCATCGAGGCTGAGTGCAAATACCACCAATCAGTTTGGGAATTCAGGCCATACACTGCACAATCCCCTTCCACTCGGAGAGGCTGGAGGAGGAAGGGTAAGGTGTGGGTTATGTTTAAAATCCCTCTCCCCATTCCTAATTGAGGTGTGACCCTGATAATCATAAACACACCTAGCTCCTGAAAAATTGCCAGCCAGGCCAATAAAAATGGCAATATACTGTCAGCTTCGTTAGGTGTGGAGTGAGCTCGGCACAAACAAGACTGCAGTCACGTCCCTCAGTTCGGTGTCCTGTGTAAGACAGAAGAGGCTGCTGGGGTCAACAGAGTGCTCCCAGTTCAAGCACAGGAGGAGAAGAGCTCTGAGTCTAACCTGGGTCTTGGGAAGCAAGATGGTTTGGGGACTGCTTTTCCAAGGGTTACTCTGGCTTTTGATCTGATCGTGGCTGCTCCATCAGCTTTCAGAGGCCTGAGGTCATCCCTAACTTGGGAGATCAGTTGCAGATGAAGATACGTGTTACACAAACCACCGTGCAAAGCTTCATTTCAGCCCCTCACATCTGGCAATTCTGCCTGGCTGGGACCTGCAGTCCCTTGTGACCCCATAGACACACAAAGACCAGGGAGCCCCTCTCAGCCTGGGGGACCCCAAACCAGATGACTCTGGTTGGGTGGAGCTGTTGTGATTCCCTACTTCCTCCTAGAAACTGCCACAGGTGCAATAAGCAGTGCAAGAGCTGCCTGAGCAAGGTGTTTGAATAGACACCCACAGCAGAAAGCACTGCACACCCAACAGGAATTCCTCACTGCAGCTGCCAGCCTAGGTGTTAGTGCTGGCTGGAACATGACCTGTTCCCCTGCACTGACCAGGAAAATCATTACAATAAAGTAACTCGGTAATACACTTCTCTGTTCCTCTCCAGGACTCTCCAAAACTTCACTGTGCCTTAAAAACACCGATTAATTAATCCTTGCCATGGGTTAGTATTACCATTAACTACCGACATGGAGTGCACTTGTTCATGCGTATCCTAGGATCCACTCAGAGGTCTCCAAAACTTCACTGTGCCTTAAAAACACTGATTAATCCTTTCCATGGGTTAGTATTACCATTAACTACTGACATGGAGTGCACTTGGTCACGTGTATCTAGGATCCACTCAGAGCTGATCTGCAGAGGATACAAAGCCTTAAAGGTCCACCTAAAGAGATGTGGAGCTCCCCAGCTCCTTACCTCTGCATAGTTTTCAGCCCTCTCTAAAAATTACCTTGAAGTGTGGGATTAAAGTGGCATATTCTCACCTGGAAGAGCACAGTGGGGAGCTGCTGTGCTGCATGCCCACGGAGAAGGCAGCGGAGACAGCTCCAGCATTGGGGGCTCTTACATTTCCATCCAAAACCTGCTATGTCCTGCGTGCACCAGCATTGGGGGCTCTTACATTTCCATCCAGAACCTGCTATTTCCTGTGTGCAGCTCTTCTCCTCACAGCCCACCACGCAGCTGCATTCCTTCACCCCAAGGCTGTGCAAGTGCCTGAGATATTGCTTAGGAGCTGCTCCCACACCCAACCATGCTTCATTCCTATCCACTGACATACAGGCCTGTGAGAGGTACCAGCACTTCATCAACCCGTCTTTTGAACACCTCCAGGGATGGTGCCTCAACCACCTCCCTGGGTAACAGCCCACCACGCAGCTGCATTCCTTCACCCCAAGGCTGTGCAAGATATTGCTTAGGAGTTGCTCCCACACCCAACCATGCTTCACTCCTACCTGCTGACATACAGGCCTGTGAGAGGTACTGGGTTAAAAGCCCCAAGAGCAAAAGCACCCCGTCCAACCTAGGGATGAGCAGTGTTTCCCTCATCCTGCCCCTGGAACCTACACCATTTACCAACTGGGTTCCTGCAGGAGCAAACCCAAGTGCTCCTACTGCTCCTACACACTCGGCAGTGCCACAGCCATTGCCGTGAAGGGGCTGGCAAGGAGGACATGTCCCTGAGCAGCACCTTCACAGCCCCCCATGAAGGCTAATCCCACCAGGGACCCATCCTACCATGGAGACAGCTGCTTTCCTTCCAGTGTGCAAGGACACCGTGAAACACACTGAAAGACTGAGAAAACACTGTCTCACTTCAGAGTAAATGAAACTACAAAAATCCCGTCATATTTAAAACATTCAGAGGTCCTGCCAAGCACATTCCTCGCTGAGCTTTCGCAAAAACAGCACTGGTCTTGAAGCTAGTCAAGCCAAGGAGCACGGGGAAGTCTTCTTGGCTAGGTACGGCTGCGGGTCTGTGTCACACCGCACACTTGGCTTCCTGGTGGTCTAACTGCATGTTAGCATGACTTCATGAGCCTGGGTGGGGGGTGCCTGAATGCACACAGCTGCTTCAGCAGCAGATGCTACAGATTTGCGTGTATTTGCCTATTAGTGCCTCTTTCCACAGCTTTGCATGCGGGTCTGGCCTGCCCTACGTGTGTGGGGAGAGCACGAGCAGAGCAGGGGCAATCCTCTGCAGCATGGTACCTTCTTAGAATCATAGAATCGTCTAGGTTGGAAGAGACCCTTGGGATCATCGAGTCCAACCATCTACCCTACTCTACAAAGTCCTCCCCTACACCATGTCCCTTAGCACTGCATCTAAATGGCCCTTAAACACAGCCAGGGATGGTGACTCCACCACCTCCCTGGGCAGCCTGTTCCAATGCCCTATCACTCTTTCGGTGAAAAATTCTTTCCTAATGTTCAATCTAAACCTACCCTGTTGGAGCTTGAAGCCATTCCCTCTCGTTCTGTCACTAATTACCTGTGAGAAGAGACCAGCACCAACCTCTCTACAGTTCTTCTCACAACCGAGCCTGTCATCTGTGAGATCCGCTCCTCACACCATGACATGCAGGGTGAGAGCAGGCATGGAAGCCTATCCCGCAGGATGTACACTTCCAGGCTTTGAGACTATGAATATCTATGGTAATTTAGGGCATATTTTCTTTGTCACTTCACCCTTTGAGTGCAGAGAAATAGCTGTTGGATTGTCTTGCAGCCAAGTGCCAGGCACCATGTCTGGAGCAGGTTTACACCAGGCTGGTGTGGCCCTGCCTGGGGAGATTAGGAGGGGTTCCATTCCCTGCAGCCCTTTCCACGCCGCTGGACGGGTGCAATGGAAGAAACTCAGGCTTGAGATACAACAGGGCCCCACGCGTGGGCAGACCTCGCCAGCGCTATGGGACCAGTGACTCTCTGCTCTGATGCTGAGCTGCCCAAAAGGGTTGTGTAATTTGTGGGGCCCAGAGGTTCCACCTGCACCCCAAGGACCGGAGCCCCTCTTGGCCTGAACTGTACATAGATTATCTTTATTACAGGACTGTTATGTTTGCACAGTTTAGTGATTTAATATCAGTTTAAAGCTTTCTCTGTGAGCAATGCTGTTTGAAGTCATGCTCTCTTTTCGGTCTCAGCTTGCCAAGACTGTAAAACGTTTATTGCTAATGGTGGAAAAGCTTAAAGAAGCCAAGATAACTTTCCCAGGCTGGGTATTAAGACTGGTCGGAAAAGTAAATGAGTGAAGACTATTACATGGACTTCATTAAATATCAACCAACACCAACAGCCATTCATTTATAACACAACGGCAGGGCGCGGGAGCTCCCAGGAGAAGAGCTGAGAAAGGTATGTTATCACATGTGATAGGAGAGATGAACATGAGAAGGGCTGGATTCCCCATGGGGCTCCCAAGTGGTGTGGCTCCCAAGGTCAAGGCAACACAAGTCCTGAGTGAAGCTCCTGCAAAATACTGCAGCTTTGGACTGATGAAGTGTCAGAGTTGATGCAGTTTATCTCCTTTTGGCTGGGGAGGGTTGCACACATGTGGTGCAGTATGTTC